CACTGGTGGTATACGTCTTCAAAATTCATTAAATTGTACATCTGAAATATGTGTAGTTTACTGTATAGGAATTATACCACAATAAAGGTGAGAGAGAGAGAGAGAAAGACAGGAAGAGAGAAAGACAGACTCCCACCCTTGGGAAGTGATAATTTGAGCTGAAATCTAAACCATGAGAAAGACCCAGCCATGCAATCACCTGGGAAAAGAGCAATTCTGTAAACAGTAAGGGCAAAGGCCGCAGAACAGGGATGAACCAGTGTGAAAAACAAGGCTACCATGAGTTCTGAGCAATTATAAAAAGGTAAAATAGGAAATGGCTTAGAAGTCATTTTCAGTTGAATGATGAGGAAAACTGGTTAAGCTGATGCTGGAAGGATAAGCACCAACCTTGAGGGGATCCAAGGAAGGGCGTTCCAGGCGTTAAGGATCAGAAGCATTACAGCTCTAAGGTGGGACTGTCCTAGGTGTGTTCAGGGAACACACAGCAGGTCAGAATACAGAAAGTACAGGGAGCAAAAAGGAGTATATAAGAATGGAATTTTCAAATAACGTTACCAGAACATCAGTAAACATAGGGAGATAGTCACTTGTTCACCAAGACAAGCCACAGCACTACCTCATTTAGTTACTGTGACTAGCTTGGCATGTGATCATCAAAACAACAGATGATATGAAGCTGAAAAGAATACATACGTTGGCAGGCATAAAAGAATAAACTTATACAGAGAGAGAACAGATAGTTGAATTTAAGAATAAATTTATAAAGACCTATACTTGAGTATTAAAAAAAAAAAAACTAGTAACCCCCCAAACTGCCAAATCTTTAATAGGGAGACTGTCTTTTAGCAGACAGTAACCTGAAACAATCAGAAGTATAGCATCAATGTAAACAACAAACAATAAAAAACCTTGATCTCCTCTAAGACTGCGTCAATGATGAGAAGTGCATTATAAGACCCATCCTGGAATGCTGCATTCTCACCCAGATAGTTAAGAGAAGTATGGATAACTAAAATATGGTGAGCAAAAAGCAACATAATAGGGACTTGAGTCACGAAACATGTCAAAGGGTTAAAGGAACTAAACAAGGTTGGTGGCAGTGATAACAACTTGGAGGTTTCAATATGCTAAGGGATATTATTTAAAAGGGAATTAAGTTTATATATGGCAGACCTTGGGACAATTCTCAGACCAAACTAAAGATGGAGATTTCTGCTCAACATATAGAATTCTTAACAATACTGTCCAAATGTGAAATAGATTACCCCAGGAGGGGATAAATTGCTCTTCAGCAAAAGATAAAGTGAATGGTTTGACCTGGATGACTTAGGGACTCTTTCAATACTAGATAAGATTCAATGATTTTATTAAATTCTTCCTAGTTAAGCAGTAGTATGGATTCTGTTGAACTCAGTTCTCTCCTACCAAATTTGGGGCACCAGTAAACTATTACTTCCATGGTACCTTTACTAAGTCTTAAAGGGATAGTACTGTCTGAAATTACTTATCAATTATTTCCTCCAAAGCATCCCACCCCCTGAAAAAGGGATCATCCTAAGATCATAATTCACAACAATTCACTAACTTACCTTGAGTGAGTCTATACGTAACACCCCTAATATTATACTGTGATGCTCTCTCTAGGGATTTTTGGAAAATCCACTGAATATGATCAGGATCATCTCCATCTAATGGAACACCTTCTGTTGGGGCGGGGGAAGTGGGAAGGAAAGGAAGACAGAAACATGTAAACATTAATCAATTTATTTTAATGTAATTATCCCAATAAATAAACCCACAGACATATATTTTACATAACTCTGGATTACGAAATCAGGTTTATTACCTCCAAAAGGCTGTTCCTTAGGCCACTGCAATATCCTCACATACTCAATACAGTGTTCTGGTAGCCTGGGCATAGATGCAATGGTGCACATGGGAAAATTAACCTAAAACCACAGTTTACCTTTTTTAGTGGATTTTAAGCAATAAATTATTTAAAATGTAACTTCTAGTTATGATCTAGTTTGTAACAGTTTCTTATAATTCATTGTAGCTTTCCACTTATAGAAACAGTTTATACCATTAATAATGCTTCTGAAACTGAGAGCATCTGAGTCACTTCACTTAGGTTGATCTGCTTAAAAAAATAGGTTTGCCCAAATTGACAAAGTATATAAATTTAAGCTTTGTTAGACCATGAGAATCAAAGTGCTGAATAAATTCTCAGATATGAGTACTTTTTGATGTTTACCTAATATTTAAATCTGAAGCTATAAAATAAACCAAAACAAAAGCAAATTCAGAGAATTTAATCAATTCCAAGCAAATATTCATAAAATAATTTATACGTATAAATCAAAATTGCACATGCCCTTTAGTGGGGGAGGGTATAGCTCAAGTGGTAGACATATGCTTAGCATGCACAAGGTCTCAGGTTCAATCCCCAGCACTTCCTCTAAAGATAAACAATAAAACATAATTACCTCCCTCCTGCCAAAAAGAAAAAAAATCCCACGCGCCCTTTAAAGTAGGTATATAGATAAAACAGCCCTACTTTGGAAATGTCATTCTCATCCCTGGTACCTTTATCTCCCTGAAACCACACATGAAAAAACCAAGAAAACAGACTATAGCCCTACCCCAATATATAACTTTGTAACTGCTCCCTTGATTCCTACTTTCCAAATAAAAAATTAATATAAATGAATTATGAAAACAGAACAGTATCAAAATGATGATATTCAGTCTGTATCTTTCCTCAGAGCAAAATTTCTTATTTTATTATCTTTCTTCTTAGCATACTTTTAAAAATATGGTTACTTCTAATTAAAAGTTCTAAATACTGACTAGTCTTAATAATTCAACCCTAATTCCACCCCAAAATACTATAAAACAGATGTAGGTGCTTTTGTGATTACCTGTGGTGGGTATAGTTCCAGTGTGCACTCAATACAAGCAGTCATTCCAGGCAGAATGACCCGGGCATTTCCTTTAAAACCTTCTGTCCCCCCGTCTATCAAAGGGACAATGGAGCTTGGATCTAATACACCATCTTCATAATTTAGAAGAGATATCTAGGAAAATTATTTGAAGGATTTATAAGGAGAGGGGGATAAGGATTTGAAAAAAGGAGAATGCTATCAAGTAATTCTATAGGTCAATTATATTACTGAGTAGTAATGTATGAAATCAAGGGATTACATTATTAGAAATCTATGTCCTCACCTGAAAATTAATGACTGGTAGTAAATAATGAACTACATCTATTACTGAAAATTAAGTAACTGATTTTTCAAAAATGTGATATGCAAGTCTCGTTTTCAGTACATTTAAGAGCAGCAGTTAGAACTTCAGAGAACCGTAACAACACTGAATCTTTACCAGCATGCCATTTATCCATCTTCTGGCTATGATAGAGTCCAGTCCACATACAATTATATGAAATTCTATGAGAAAAAAATGCAAGTTTAGTTTTTAAAAATGCTGCTGCACAAAATAATTCACAATTCCTAAGAAACATAGCAAAAAAACACATTTTTCATTATAACACAGACACACACAGCTTCTAATCCTTGAGTAATCTTTACTCAAGAAAGCATATAAAAAGGCAGCTAACGGTGACAACTAAGAATTAGAACAGTGGCATTCTGTTTTCAATCAGACAACAGTTGACAACCTTCCTGAAAAGCCAACCCCAAGAAATGAAAGCAAATGAAGAAACAGCTTTCAAATAGCTAGCAATATTCAAAGAGACGGCAACTAAGGAATAGTAAGAATTTAGTGAGAATTAATTTCAAGTGGAAAACTTACGTCGGTAGAAAGTGTCGTTAAAATCCTGAATCTTGTTGAAATGTCTGACTGTAAGTAAAGGAACTTAAGCTGCTAAGTTTTTAACTTGTAAAGTGAAGTTAACAATGCCAAATTATAAATGTCTATTCAAAACAAGACATAAGTCATCAATATTCAAAGCAGTGGAATTCAAGGAATCTGGCAAAATGAACACAACTCTATCTCCTAAAAAACCTTTTTCCCAAACAGTCCTCCCCTAACTACTTAGAGTAGTTTTTCCTCATCTCCAAACCTCCATATCATTAAAACTGTGTCTCTGTTATACTTTCTACTCTACTTCAGTTTTTATATAAAACCATAAGCCCTGGGAAAGCAGAATTTGTGTCTTTAACCACCAGTAGCAGAGAGACAATAACGTTTGTTTAGTGATGAGAACATTATAGCTCCCTTATAGAAAGATGATTTTAGGAGTTACTGCACAAACTGACACATTGTACAACTTAAATTTATACGATGCTATACATCAGACATAGTCAATTAAAAAAGGTCACTGCAAAGCTAATTTTAAAAAACACAGATGTTTCCAATAGCTTTGTCAGGCACTAATGATTTGTCATTGGGCTTTTTCAGAATAATTCTTTCACTCTCATTTACCTCAGTTTTCCAAGTCTCTCTTTTTTTTACCCAACCCACACCCTATCAGCAATCTTCGCCAGCCTGAAGGCTGCCAAGGCAACCCCAGTCAAAACTGGCTATGGATGTGAATCATAGTACTTAACATTTTAACAGAATTATGTATGCTAAAAAATTTTTAATCTTTCTAATTGAGCAATTTTGTTTAGTAACATAAATTATACTTTTCTAAAACTACAATGTATCGTCCATTACATATTTTAAAAAGTAAAATGGAGAAACAGTAGGCAATATATAATATGCTTGCCCTAATATTTTTTATCCTGGCGTACAAATAAAGCTATGAAAAACACATTCAGTTCTAGCCCCCACCCACTCGAGACTTCTATTCCTTTTGAAGGCCAGGCAAACAAGAGGCATAAGCTACAGCTAGAAAAGGGAGGTCAAAAGCGAACGAGAGCAAACACTGGAGGAAAAGCTGCAGGAACCCAGGCGCCAGACCAAAAAATCGCATCTCCTGGATTTCTACAAATACCCAAAGTTTTCCAGATCTAAACAATAGGGATAGACATAGAGTGTGCATACTACCTTTTTTCCTCTTTTCTTTCTCCCTATAGGGACCTGAAGTTGCATTTTTAACATTTTATTTTTGCAAACATGCTACAGAGGGGGTCCCATAAGTCACCCAGCTTCCTCAAAGGATATATACTACACAACTATAGTACAATATCAAACCACAAATGTTACATGGGTATAATGTGTGTGTAAAGCTGTCATTAAACACATGGAGATCTGTGCAACCACCACAATAAAGACATACAACTATTTCATCACGACAAAGATCTCCCTCCTGCTACCCTCTACAGTCACACCTAGCCCCTCCACCATGCCTCATATGTGGCAATCACTGATCTGTTCTCCATCTTCACAATTTTGCCATTTGAAGGTTATATAAATGCAATCATACAATATATGACCTTTTGAGATTGGCATTTTTCATTCAGCATGGAGCCCTTGATTTCCATCCAAGTTGTATTTTATTAGTTAGCTCTTTTTTAATGCTCAGTATTATTCCATGGTGTGGCTATAACACAGTTTAACAATTCACCTACTGACGGATGTTTGGGTTGTTTCCAGCTTTGGGCTACTACAAATAAAGGTGCTATAAACATTCAAACATTCAAGAGTAAGTTTCTATGCATAGTATTCACTTCTCTGAGGTAAACACCCAGGAATGAAATTGTTGAGTAGTATGGAAAGTATATATTAGATTTTTAAGAAACAGCCAAACTATTTTCCAGATGGCTATACCACGTTACATTTCCTACCAGCAATGTACGAGTAATCCAGTTTTTCTGTATCTTTGCCAACATTTCTTACTATTTTTTATTTCAGCTATCCTAATAGGTGTATTGTAATATCTTACTGTGATCATAATTTGGATTTCGCTTTAAAACTAATGATGTTGAACATCTTTTCATGTGCTTTTTGCTATCTTCTTTAGTGAAATATCCCTTCGTATTTTTTGTCCATTTCCTAATTGCATTGTTGTTTTTTACTGTTGAGTTTTGGAAGTTCTATATATGTTCTTGATATAAGTCCTTTGTCACATACCTACTTCATAAGCATTTCCCAGTCTGTGGCTTGTTTTTTTATCTGCTTAACAAGGTCCTTCACAGAGTATAATTTTAAAGTTCTGATGAAGTTCAACTTATCATTTTTTTTCTTTTATGGATCATGCTTTTGATGTGGTCTAGGGACTCTTCAATCGAGCTCTACGCCCCAAAGATTTTTCTCCCATGTTGTCTCCCAAAATTTAACAGTTTTACATTTTATCATTAAACCTGTCTGTTTTGAGTTAATTTTTGTAATTTTAAGGACTGAATTTTTTTGCCTAGCTCCAATACAATTTATTAAAGAGATTATCCTTCCTCTATTTGTTTTTGCACCTCTGTCAAGTATAAATTGGCCATACTTGTATGTAGCTATTTCTGGTTTCTCTCTTCTATTCTGCCGATCTGTGTCTGTCTCTCTGGCAATATGACACAGTCTTGATTATTGTAGCCATATAATTAGTCTTGAAACTGGAAAGTGATTCCTCCCATTTTATTCCTTCTTAGTATAATTTTTGGTGTTCCTTAGCCTTTCTGTATCAATTTTAGAATAATCCTGTCTATAGTAACAAAAAAATTCACAGGGATTTTGATAGAAATTGCATTAAACTTTTATATAAATTTGGGGAAAACTGACATCTTTACTATGTTGAATTATCAAGTTATTGAACACGTAATATCTTTCCATTATTTAGATCTTCTTTGAGTTCTTCCATCAGCATTTTGCAGTATTCAGCATTTAAGTCCCATATTTATTTTGTTAGAATTAACACGTAAGTGTTTCTCCTTCTTTTTGAGCAGTTATAAATAGCATTATATTTTAAATTTCAGTTTCCATGTACTCACTGCTAGTATATGGAAATACAAATAATTTTTTATGTTAATTTTTGTATCTTGTGGTATTTCCAACATAGTAAATTTCACTTCCTGAGTTTCTATAATACTAAAAGTTCCCTGGATCTAAAGATATGGGAATGAACAAAGCGTGACTACTCCTTTTTAAAAACGTATTTCTTGTAAAAGTGAATTTACTCTGACACACCTTCCATTTGGCTAATAACATATCGACTCTTTATTCTGCCTGCTTGGTCAGGAGACACAAAAAGTAATGGGATCCATTCTATGAACTAAGTCTAGTAGAGGAGATGCGCAACTGAAACGTAAACTAAGGGCAATAATGCAAAATAAATGATGGTACCAGCCACAGAAGCTTAATTTAAAAATTAGGGGGAGGGAAATTATATAACCTTAAAAAGAAAAGATTGGAAGGACATAAAGCAAAGTATTACCAGCAGATAACTCAGTAATAAGCTTACTGCTGATTTTTTCTTTTTGCTTATCTATATTCTCTATGTTAACTAAACATCTCTTTCACAGTAATTTTGTAAGAAGCTTCAAAAAGTTAAATATTAAGTAAATTATTTGTCAAAAGGATACGGAACTACATTGCAATTAGGAACTCTGTCATTTAGAAATTCTGCAGCAACTTCAGCCTTAGGTCTTCCAACATCTTTAGGCCTACAGGAAAAATTATATTTAAATTATCATTTATGATATAAATCTAGATGATCTACATAATATACTTTCAAACATAAAAATATTCATGGTGAGTCTATTTAGAGGATTTTTAGAAGGAATAGTTTTACCTGAACATTTTTGATGAATAATTAGTCATTCAATACTAAATGTCAACCCTTGCTGATGTTTCAAATTAAGTATTTTTAAGTATTGGTAAGCCTAGGTATTTCTTAGGTGAAAATATGAACAGTGCTCTTTTTATTTTTTAAAAGTTTAAGCATAACAACAGCCTGTTTCCTGGCCACTTCTCACTGTTGTGTTACCCAGTGCAAAAACATTATCCCAGGTCAGAGACTTCCAAGCGTTTGCCCTGAACCCCAGAACCTCAAGGTGTTACTATGCAGGTCTTGAGTCAAATAAACATGAGAGTCTAGGGATGCAAGAACCTTCATTTATTCCCCTTCTTTCCATGTGTGCTGATTAAGTAGTAATTCTGTGTCTCATTAGAAGCCATAACCACGTTTTTGAAGGAGTATGTCACCAATATATATTTTTATTACCAATATTTTCAAGAAGGTAAAAATTAAAAACCTCAAAGTCACTCCAATGTAATAACCATAGCTACAGAGGAAAGGACTTGAATTCTCTCTCCTGATCTCAGTACAAGTGGTGTTTTCTTTCCAAATATTTCCTCACTGTCCTTACAGACATAAATCATTCCCTCATGTATACATAGTAAGTGCTTCATTACTACCTTTTCACAACATATTTTGGTTATATACATAGATCTAGTATACCTACTGCACTATGAACAATTGGAAGTTACTATATTCTTATCTCTTTGTATTCTTTCCTGTCTAAGCATGTAGTTAACATTTCAAAAATGAAAAATTTTAAAAATCAATGTGCTTAAGAAAAATCGTATTTTATTCAAAATTTGAATTTTAAAGGAACATGCTTTAACAGATCAATTTCCTTCTCGCCAATAAAGCAGTATGTTTTTTTGATTCAAAACTTGTGACAAGAGTTTTATTCCGACTTGGTCCTAACTTGCAACAGAAAAGGCTCTAGCACAAATCATGGAACTTGATTTCAGTACTGCACTCAACTACTCTGACAGCGCTATCAGGTATATAAAGGAGATAAAACAGAATTTCAAGAATCTTTCAGGTTGTGCGTTATATGTGCTTTCAGAGTAGATCCCAAATAAAAGAACTCCTAGATGGTTTCTGTGGAAACCAGTCTGGAATTAGGGGATCAGACTGCTCCATTTGAAAACTGCACTTTGAATAAAATGGCCTTTCACACACATCATCCTTGCAGGACACCTTGGCCTATTTACTTAACCTGGAAAACACGTATCAACCCTGGACTTTGCTCTGAGATTAAATGGGGGCAATAAAATGAGCTTAGGAAGTACTTAACACATCCTAAGCACTCCACAAATGTGAACTCTCATTAGGATCTTCAATCATTATTTTAGCCTCAAATTAAAGGGCATGGCCTATTATTAATAACCAATGAATTCAGTGGTGCTTTTTTAGAGTAGTCATATGCTAAAAATTCGTCAAATTGGAAAGGGCCCAACCTATCCTTCCATTTCTTTAAGACCTTCCACAGAGACAGAGTAGAGGTTTTATTCCTATCCAAAAATTTGATTGCAATCTGTTCTGCTAACCTAGCCTCATCCTGCATGCCTAGGACTATTTGAGCACTTTCTATCAGTACTCTAATTACCAGAGAGAGAGAGAAAAGTCCTAATCCCATCATATTTATAATTCTTTGATTAACAAATAGACACTTTAACCTAAGCCACTCAAACCCCTAAACACTGCATAGTGAAATTAATGTACTTTTCCTTCAGATTCACACATATGGCCTACTTCCAGTTTTTAAAGTCATTTCTAACAAGATGCTTTCTGTATTTCATGTATTTCTAAGGTAATTATCCCTCTTTGTTTCATTTCAATTGCTCCTGGGTTTTCTCTCCTTAGCTCACTATTTTCTTTCCCCTTCTACAAAAAGCTCAAACTCCGTCACAACTTCATTCCCCTAGAGTCACCATTCAAATCTTGGCTCCTGAGTCCCCACCAATATATCTCACTAGGGCCTAATACAGAGTTACTGTTCTCTTATAAAATTAACAGGAGGAAATGAGTGGCACTCAGTGGCTTCAGGGCACAATCAACCTCAAATCCCATACACCTTTTGGAAATTTCTTTAAAACCAACAAAAACATATATTTGCTTACAAAACTACTTTCACCAGGATATACAAAATTCACCTGCAAAATTTTGCCTAAGATGGGAGTGGTAGTTATCTTCTTAGTAAAGTACGTGTTATCCTCTCAGTAGTTTTTTTAAATTATTAAACTGCAATGTACTCAAGTTCAAATGATTACCACAATTTTAAAATAAGATATTAAAACTTACCTAAATAAAAACTGCCTATTTAGATTGGAAACATCTATGGTGTCCATGTCTATAACATGAATCTGTCTAAAACCAGACAGTGCCTGTGGGAATAAAAAACAATCCAATCAAGAAGGAATTTCCTTACACTTGAAATTAAAAAAAATTTTTTTTCATTAGTCTTAAATCTACAAATTCTCAATAATAAACAATAAATTCTAAATAATGGTATTCTATGGTATCTAAAAGGTATATAAAATTCAGGGTTCTTATAAAGGTCAAAAAAGTGTAATTACTCAGTTTTAAGTAGTCTACAACCAAAAGAGAATACTTAAAATTTCTATAGTTGTTTTACAATCCCTTAAATATGTCTGTAAAGTTTGTTGCTTTGCTCTTGCTGCTGCTAAATATTTTAATTTTACTAGTCGTACTAATTATCCTTACTTGCTATTCTTTTTCCAATATTGTTCAAAGTAATTTCTTTAAGCTTGATCTTAGTCTTCCTAACATTAAGCATGCTGCCATTCAGAAGTAACTATGATAAGACATATACTGTTATAAGCACACACACATATAAACATATATACTGCACATGTAAAAAAGACAGACCTTAAAAGTATTGATTCAAGAGCAAGCACTTAAAAAGCTAGAGAAAAGCAAAAAACTCTGTGTTATGATAATGTCATGCATTTTTCCAGTACAACCACTGTTCAAATTTACCAGCAAAAGGAAAAGATTAAGAAAAAAAAAGCAAGCCTCAATAATCAATTATGTTTTTCTGGTCTTGGTCAGTTTATTGAAGTAATCAAATTAATCATTTGGCAATAATTTCCCCATTTTTCTTCTCTTCTTTACAGCAAGAGATTTTCAAAAGAGTTGTTCATACTTGGTTTCTCAAATTCCTCTCCTGCACTTGCTCTAAAAAACTTTCACTCCCACCACTCCACCAAAAACTGCACCTGCTAAGCTCACCAGTGACCTCCACACTGCTACCTCCAGTCTCTCTGATCTTATCCATCTCAAGTATTTGGCAGGATGTGGATCAATTCCTCTCCTTAAAACGTGCTTCACCTGGTCACCCCACTTATGAGAATTTGAATACTTTTAAAAAATTGGTTTCCCATTCACCACACTCATGAGTTTTCCTCCTACTCTACTGGCCAGAATTGGGAGTATCCGCGTGCTTCTTAGTTCTATTTAGTTCTGGTGACCTCAGATAACCCCATAAGATAAAGCATCATCTAACAGAAATCTCGAACTTAACAGTTTCCAAAACCAAAGCCAATCATCCTTGCTCACCAGCACCACCAAATCTATTCTTCTCCCAGTCCTGCTCATTTCAGTGAATACCAACTCCATCTTTCCAGTTGCGCATGGCAAAAACCTTGTGTCATCCTTGACTCCTCTCCTTCTCTCATGTCCCACACCAATCCATCGGCAAATCCTGTTGACTTGATCTTTGAAACATATCCATAATCCAACTGCCTCTCTCCACCTCCAATATCACCACCCTATTCTAAGTCACCATCACCTCTTACCTAGATGACTGCAGCAATCTTCAAACCAGCCTCTCAGCTTTCTCCCCCGTTCTTCCTTTAGTCTTTTCTCAATACGTCAGCCACAGTGATCCAGGTTAAAGTTAGATCAAGTCAACTCACCTGCTTAAAGCTCTCCTATGACTTCCTGACTTGGAGTAAAATGCAAAGTTCTTAGAGTAGCCACTACAGTCTTCTGTGATACTCACTCCAAGCCCCTCCACTTCCTGCTGTCTCTGATACCCTCCTAGAAAACGACCCCCTTACCCACTTCTGCTTTAGCTGTACTGACCTCCTTGCAGTCCTGGAAGGTAACAGTCATACTCCCACTTCACAGTTTTTGCCATCTGATTTTCCCTCTGCCTAGAATGTTCTTGCTCACCTTTCTGCTCAAATAGCACCTTCCTGTGAACCCTTTCCCTTCCTGCCAGGCTACTACCTTCTATCTTTTCTTTCTCCGTATCATTTATTATCATCTCACATACTATGTATTTCACTTATCTTTTTCCTTCCACTAAAACATAAGCCCTACAAACACCTGCTGTCTTGTTCAATGCAGTATCTTTAGCATCTAAAACAGTACTTGGCAAAACAAAAAAACAAAACAAAACAAAAAGACAATACCTGGCATATGGAGGATGAGGCTCGATAAATATATGTTAAATTAATAATATTAATGTCATATTCTTTTTTTTTTTAGAGATTCAATCCATTTAAAAAACATGTATGTGTATCTCTTATGTACTTATGTCTGAAACAAGCAAAGTAACAAGTGGTAAGGTTGAAAATCCTTAGTTTTCTTTCGTGTAAGAGGTTATTACAACGCAATAAACAAATAACAAGGCCACTCCTAAGGTTGCTTGATGACTATTCCTCAGATCTAATCTCCAATTACTTTACATTTAAAATTGGTATCTATTACATTTGCAAATAAGAGCTCTGAAATAAAAAAAGTTATTCATTTAGGTGATTTGTGCATACAATGCCTACCAAAACCACTGCCCAACCTTCATAAATCCTTTGATTCTCACACTGCCAGGGTATTTATGTCTGCTAAAGTACTGTCATTTTGTTACCTTATCGCAGAGCATATCATACACAATGCTGTTTATTTTGTGTGAGACTTGTCTTCCCAATGATACTTCAGATTCATTGCGGACATAGACCATGATGACTTGCAATCCCCACAGAACCCAGCCTAGTACTAAGTACCATGAGTGTATTAAGTTTTTGCACTTACACAAGGAGTGATGTTACTATCAAAATTAATGTGGTGGTTTTGCTTATATTTAAACTTCAGTCCTAAGGCTGACTTTTTAGAAGTCCTTCACCTGTTACCTATTTCATTTTCTAAGGAGCCTACTCTAACATTTCTACTTTTCCACATACTAATGAGAAGGCCAGCATATAACAGCTCTAAATCAATCCTTCCCCTATCCATTTTTGTTAAATAAATTAACAAAGTCTAATAAAAAGCTACTCTGTAGTTATCAGAAGCCAATGAAACTAATTAGTTAAATCACAAATTATGGACTTCTAACCAGCATATGAGATTAGCTTCACTAAACAGTACCCTCTCTTGAGATGATATTCATTTAAAACAGACTGATCCAAAAAAAAAAGGAAGAAAAAAGTTCAGCTCTCCCAAATTTTATGGGTCTACTGCCACACGGTCATCAAAACTAACTACATGATTAGATCATGTAATGACCTAATGGTTAAGTGAAAAAAACAAAACAAAACAGAACACTTGACTAAGAATCGAAGACTTGGACTAGATTCCAGGCACATCACCATAATCCAGAAAAACTTGGCATTTAGCATCCCTGAACCTGGGTCTCCCTCTACATAAAAACGAGACAAACTCCAATCCACCTAACAGGGTTATTTTGAAGAACAACAACAACAAAAATAAATTCTTTGATATTACATGTTAAATATGAATTACCAGTTTTGTTATTTACTTCACTGAATTAATGAGCACTTTGCAAGAGGAAGCACAAAGATTTGCTCGATAAAAAGCAACGAGGAAAAGAGAAGTAACAATTTCTATCAATGATTTTATAGCTGAGGACTTTAGGGTTTAAAAGGTTAAGTTACATCATCATTTTAATTACTGTCTGGAATTTGAGCTGATAAACTTATCTAACAAAGGCTCGGGAGAAAAGCTTAACAATCATAATAAAGAAATTTCCAAGTATGACAGAAAAGGAAAACCATTTAATTATCATAAAGGAGAAAAAACACATTTCACATATATACATATATGTATTACCAGATTTTTCAGGAGCTCACATCCTAAGCCGCCAGCTCCAATGACTAGAACTTTACACGTATCTAACAAAAACTGGAGAGACTGTAAAGAATGAAAAGGTGTATTAAAATCTGGTTGCTAAAACTATAAGTACCATCAATAAAGCAACAAGCCATAAAATAGTTTCTGGTATTTCCATGAAAAATGCAACTGAGGACAAAGTGCAGGCTCTGTGTTTAATAAGTTATTTTAAATTTATCAGGAAGGTAGAATCAGAAATTCTATAACCCTAATGATTTCAGAGTTTCAATTTTAACGTTTCTAAACTGACTTTACTGAATGAAATTAAAAGGCTATCGCTAACAAGAAAAACTATGCTTTGCCAAAAATTATTTTCTTTTAACTTTGAAAGGGATGGAAGGCATCAAAATCAGTTATTTAACTGACTCCTTAAAAACAGAAAAGTGAAAAAATCATAAGAACCGAGGATCAAGCACTACACAGGTGTTTAAAGGTCTTTACAGAAAAACAGGGAAGTAAGAACAGTAATAGCTGCTTTGGAATACAGTGAGGGAAGTTTCAAAAGCATGAAGTGATAGGAAGAAAGAACGGATAAAACTCTTAGAAAAGTGCCTATCAGCAGAAATACAATTTGAAGCAATCACTTAACGGAAGTATCTTAAATTACCAGACCCCCCCCCCAAAAACAAAAATCAGAAACACAAGAAAATATGGTGGCTTAACCAAAGAAATGCAGAATACTGTCAATTCTGTCCAAGAGTAAAGGAAAAATGTGTTATTCAGAAAAAGCAGAGTCAAACCCAAGAGACTGCACCTTAATTTTAGGAGCAGCATGGTATTTCTATTTCAAAACAGCATCTCTTCGTAAGCACAAAAGGACATAAAAATTTACTGAAAAGAAGTATTTTCTATCTTGTAATAAAAAGCAAGCTGTATATAATTGAACATTTGATTTAAGTCAGACACTACCAGTCCCAAATTCTATTCCACTATTATACAGCATCACATAATTTTTAACATGCAATTAACTATATTCAATTCTAAGTAAAGATGCTTATTTCAACTAAATTTCAAAATTTAAACAAGCACATATATATTCCTATGAAAATTAAATTTCTCAGAGAAGGACTAAAAAGGTGAATGTGTCTCAAAAGTAATTTTAAACTGGAATTTTAACTGAAGTATATAACTTAGAATTTTCAATGAGGTTTTTGAAGTTATGTTACTCCTGAAAAATTTCAACATACTACATGAGAAATGTGAAAATAACGACTCAAGTATCAGTCATTCAAGTAAGATCAGCCGCAAATATTCAATTCAGTATTTCAAGATAACTTATACAATTATATTAGTATTTTCATTATAAGAGCAATTTTAAAGGAAGCATTTTATTCTTTTTGAACATAAAACTATTAGAGGAGTTATTTAAAAATAAACGTTTCTCACTTCAGTGCTCGGTTCGAAATCGGGGTGTGTGAAGGGTCCAGATCGCTCGAGGAACTTCTTTACATGGTTCCAGCGACCTTCCCAGTCTCCAGTGTCCCCACACCCACCATCAACAGCCATTCTGCACAGAACACAGTAAATTCAGCTGCAAAGATCAGTATGAAAAAGCCACACCTACAACTAGTATGGTTTTCCCAAATGAAAACGTAACCACACCAGACTCACTCAAATAAAAAGGGAAGTATTCGATGTGGTTATGCGTATGCTTTCAATTTCTTTTCTTGCTATTATATAGTTTATTTAAAGTTAACAACTGCATATAATCAGCCAACATGTTTCTGGGTTCCTAAAACAACCTAAGATCAAACTTGGGATATTGGTCAAGTGGTGAGAAACTGGAATTCTAAACATTTGGAATTTCCTAAGGATCAATGCAAACTGCACCAATCTGTTCCATTAACACACTGAGATCAGGAAATATCAGCTACAAGAAAAAACAAAAACAGAAAAATCCTCCACTTTCAGAATCATGATGCTTGAAATCTAACATAACTCATGTGTCCTCTCCAAGTCTGAAAGGTGCAATTTGAAGATTATTTTTGATGAGAGGAACTTTCATACGTTTTTCTCTGAAAGGTCCTAATTTTCAAAAAGGAATCTCTTAGGACTATGAGATGGTTTTTGTTGCCACAAAACACAAGAAAAAGGTCAGGTTATATTATGCCACAGATAGGCATTACCATCTAGAAACCTTTCAGAAAAGAAAATTGAGTAATGTGGGAGTCCTGTAACAAAATACATGTATTTTTTTACTCACTGCAAGAGTCATCTTTGGTTGTGATTATTTTTACTTTTCAAATATTTCCTATAATCCCACAATTTCTACCTTCAAACCTGTTAGTAATATTCAATTTTTACAAACGGGACCAATTATTGCCTAGCAGTATTTAATGTCACAGTTGGGTCTGGTACCACACTTAATACCATTGTGACCTTGAATAGATTACTTTACAGCCATAAACCTCATCTGTAGGCTGACTTCCAAAAAGTCAGAACGAGGATAAAGAGATAATCCACACAGAGGCCTTATTACAATACTTGGCATATAGCAAACATTTAAACTTCAGCTACCATTTTAAGTAAAAGTGGAAAGTAAATGAAAAGTGGGAAGGAATGTGAAATGGAACGTGTCGTTCCAGAACTCGTGCAATTAAAATTCAACTTTCTCAGGGAGATACCTAAAAACTCCAAGACACTGCTGCTGGGAACTGGCACAGAATTACTAACCACGCCCACTGTAAGAAGAGTACTTTCTTCCCCTCGTGTAAGGAAGAAAAATTATGTGGTGCTGCTAAGGTTGGAAAACACTTCGTTTAAACCTCTCTCACCAGTACAAAACTAAGCATCTGATAAAAAAAAAATAGGGTGTGTGATAAATGAGGAAAATAAGCTGTTTGGAATCATCACTCTTCTTTAAGAGCCAATGATTTTGCAAAAATGACTGCAGTGCTTAGTACAACACCTGACATAAAGTTCTCATTAAAAGTTTGCAATTAATACTACTGTCTCAGTGTTTATGAAAGGCCAAAACGGTCTAGTGTCCGTTTCATGTGTTTCAGTAAGATTCCCTTTTCACAAGATCGCGGCTCTGACAATTTGGGTA